CGTGTCTATTATGTCGCGTTTCCTCGTAAAAGACCCAAGACCCAATAGCCTCGGGGAAGGGATACTAGAGTAGAAAGGAAAGGAACCGAGTGGAAAAAACGGGGCGCCGTATATAACTAGGCGCCTCGTAATAATCATGCATATTGGTGTGATCTAGAACATGTGGCAAGGTTAGCCAAGTTGCACGGTTTTGCAACAACGTTATACGCGGTCTGTTGCGTCTTACGATACGAGCCGTATTCTCATCAATTATGACTGCAACTGCCCTCGTATAAGTCCCGCGCGTTACCATTTCATCGCGATTAAGGATCGATCCAACGGCGTTTAACATACGTAATGTATAGGATTGATCGACGTCGTGTTTAACTTGGGACCAAGAATAAATAATTTATGTACGATGATGACTGTACAATTTACAATCGACGCACCCAAAAAGAAAAATTTTATTTCAAACATATAATAATATACGTATATATCTAATGTTAAGTTGGATTTTCATGTCGTCTGACTTCGATAAGCATACGCTCCAATTCGCGCTTAGCACACTAAAGTACGTGGGTGATGTGCTTCCTAGATAGTTATCTCTTCGATGTAATTAAATGGTTGCGACATTAATATTCATTAGTATTTTCTGTCCCACGGGATAACGATATTCCCAGGTAAACAGCATTTGGTAAGAAATACAATCCGCGTGTGCTCTCCTGATGTTGGGTTTGCTCGCGCGCAGCGAAACACGCCTCCAGCATCTGGCGAACCCATCAGACCGCTTAGAATTTCGCGCTTGCACTTTGTCTAGGTCATATGTTACCTCGATATAGCACCGGCGCGGCTTGCTCGCTCTCGTACTTTCCAGCCTCATTAACGATAAACAAGTTCGCCGTGTGTTTTAGCATATTAACCGCGTTATGCTATTCGCGGCTGATGCGTGTCGACTTATTCGAAGGAACGTCCCTCCGTCAATTGGAATTCGTAATCGCTTCATCAACGGGGACTGAGAGAAAATAACGAGAGAAAAATCTCTCGAATGAAAGAGCGAATTATTACGAGCGCACTGAAAAAAAAAGATTGATTATAATTTATTATAATAATCCAGCCTTGATCGAAGTTATCTAGAATCTTGATGAAATAGTTTTAACTAATGTATAAGTAATATGATGAAATAATTTAGTTAATAGGTTAATTTAATTGGCTCAACTAAATCCCAAGTTGCCCTTTTGAAACATTAGTAAAATTAGTTTTCTTACCAAACGATTTTTTACTATTATTACAATTGGTAATAATAACCAAAGATTCATAACATTGCATTATTAAATGCATCTCATAAAAATTCAAAAGATTAAAAAGAGAAAAAGGTAAAGAGCTAAAAGAATCAAAATGAGGATAGAATAAAATAAAAAGGTTGATTTGTTGTGTTTTGAGATTTGAAAATGTTAAAAATTTTAAATTTTGAGTTTGATTCTGATTTTAAATTTAATTATAATTTAAATTTTAATTTCAATTAAAATTAAGGTATATTTTATTTTTTGAAATTTTTTAATTTAATTTTTAATTTAATTTTGTTTCTATGTATTTATGTTTAATATTTTAATATTTAATAACGTTTAGTAACGTGTTATTTTAATTTAATTGAATTTATTGTAAGAAAATGTAAGAAAGTAAGAGACAGGAAAAAAAATATTATAAAAAATAGGGGGAATAATATATAAAAGTGTAAAAATATAAAAATGCAAAGATGTAAATCAGAAGCCGTCCTAAGCCGCAAGGCAAGAATTATGAATAAATAAATAATAAAATAAACTAAATGCATCTCACAAGGTTTTCACCCAGAATTTCGTTTTCAGCGTATCGCGTCGTCGAAAGCTGTTATTTCGATGAGAAGAATGGCAAGGCGATGCATTATTAAATGCATCTCATAAAAATTCAAAAGATTAAAAAGAGAAAAAGGTAAAGAGCTAAAAGAATCAAAATGAGGATAGAATAAAATAAAAAGGTTGATTTGTTGTGTTTTGAGATTTGAAAATGTTAAAAATTTTAAATTTTGAGTTTGATTCTGATTTTAAATTTAATTATAATTTAAATTTTAATTTCAATTAAAATTAAGGTATATTTTATTTTTTGAAATTTTTTAATTTAATTTTTAATTTAATTTTGTTTCTATGTATTTATGTTTAATATTTTAATATTTAATAACGTTTAGTAACGTGTTATTTTAATTTAATTGAATTTATTGTAAGAAAATGTAAGAAAGTAAGAGACAGGAAAAAAAATATTATAAAAAATAGGGGGAATAATATATAAAAGTGTAAAAATATAAAAATGCAAAGATGTAAATCAGAAGCCGTCCTAAGCCGCAAGGCAAGAATTATGAATAAATAAATAATAAAATAAACTAAATGCATCTCACAAGGTTTTCACCCAGAATTTCGTTTTCAGCGTATCGCGTCGTCGAAAGCTGTTATTTCGATGAGAAGAATGGCAAGGCGAATTGCCATTGTGAATTAATTAACGATGTTCTATTTAACGTTGGTGTAAATACGACACTTGAGTAATTTCATAGCGAGTATCGTGAATCGAGCGAGAAGACAAACAACTGTACACGCAGTGCTCGAATAAATGATCTCTTCTCTCGAGATACAATACTTCGTGCCGAGTTTTAAGGCAACGATACATGTAACTCGGTCGCGAGATACACTCTCGGCTCTGTTAATTAATATTAAAGGCGAAAAAGCTTTCGTAACCTGTGAATTGCTCACGGCAACGGTCTTTCCGCAACGATTAATATGCGCAAAAGACTAACGAGCTTCACCGCGATTACCATCTCCGATTCACGGTGGAAACTTATACCGAGGAAAATGATGAAATTTGATTCTTTAAAGGGACCGAGAATATTAAACGTTGTTCCATTAATGTAATATATCTATAAGAAAATTGTGTTTTATTAATGATAGGAAAGAAAATGGCTACGTCGCGGTAGCAGAATCTTGTTATTCTTGCGTTTGACTTTTTATTCAAAAGTTTTACCAGAAATAAATTGACGAGATATCTTGTATTGAAAATGGAAGATATCTTTGAAAAATATAATATATAAAAGATATAATGGAAGATTATTATATTTTATATTAAAAATGAAAAGATTGTAACTAATTAAAATGTTATAAATAAATAACGATGCGAGTTATTTTAAAAATGTAAAAAAATTCAAGTTTTGTTATAACAAAAAATTAATCTTTATACACTCAACTGTGCACTATTGGATTATTAATATAAATAATACGATCATATTTTTCTCTTGCCATGCTATTTTTGGCGTATAAAATAAATTCTTTCCCATTAATTTAATTTACGGGCATTAAAATAATATTCAATGATGCGTGTGAAAATGTTACTGTTAATGATATGTAATAAATAATTTTTCAATTAATTAAAAAGTCATTTATTACGCTTTACGCTCTGCAACTGTAGCGAATCTAATATATATAAAGAGGTTTATTATTAAAATATTTATATATATATTTATGTGATATTAATACCATACGAAGAGGATTATATTTTATAATAATTACGAGGAGCTTCGATGTTGGACCTAATCTAGGATACATCACCAAGGTCTTAAACAACTTCAATCCTCAATTATCGGCTCGGCGAAGCGACAATTTTCATTCGATTGCCATTTGTCCAAGTTCCACATATAAACGAATCATGCGCACGAGATGGCCCCTGCAATTCTCCGTTCGCGATTCGCGTTAAATATCCTACGCTTCGTCGAGCAAACTTCGGCGTAATGTCAAGGATTTACGAGCGATTCGTAAGCAAGTCTCAGGGGCTGCCAACCAAGCACTTCTCACGGAAATGTCTCATCGTGAACGTATGGGCGCGAGTCGTGGAACGCGCGTCTATTCATCGAATCGCAAGTGATTTTGCCCGTCTGCAGCGAATTACTTATGCATGACGAACGAACGGAATGGGAGACACGTCGCCTCGACGTTATCGATAAGACTGTTTATATTTTAACAGAGAAAAAAATATCTGGGGAGACCACTTATATTTTCGCGCGCGATCCTCAACCAAACCATTTTGGTAAAATACGTCACACCAATCAAAATTTTTGTTTGCTAAGCAAAATTAAATTTGATCTAATATTGTTTTGTGTTGTTTCAAAAAAGATCATCTTTTCTTTTTTTTTTTTTTTGCGTAACGAGAGCAAATGCGTAAGTTTAAAATACAATCCAAATTACTTTATATTATCAGATTATATACGTTTTTATTGAAACAATCAATTGCAACGGAGAAATAAGACGTCGGAGAATCAAATCCATCGCTTCGCGATCGCGGCTTTTTATAGATTCTATACATATTCAACGGGCAACAATAGACCCGCCGCTCGTCGATGTCACGTAAAAAGGACTGCTGACGCGCGCGCGCGATAAATATTTAATCGTTCGGAAGATTAGCGATGAAAGAGAAGGGACAAATCTATTATACACGCGGTGGAAGGATGGTTTATACGAGGATCTCGGTAGATCGTCCTCGTAAAAGGAGTTGATGTCTGAGACAGGAGGAAAGGAGTGTAAATGGTACAGGGTCGTGTGGAAGAGGGATGATGAAAGGGAGGGATGAGAAATCGAATCAAGAATGAATCGAGAAGCACTCACCGGTAATTCTTCCTCGCCCAGGAACTGCGATCTCACGTCCAGGTGTCTCGAGTGCCTCAATCTCATTGCAGTCGCTGTAACATAAAGAAAGAACGGAGGATGATGATATCGTCCATTTATGATATTGCGTTCGATAGACACAAGTCGCTTAGAGAGCCTTTAATTCGAATCTAAGGATAACGCGTTACGAGTGACACCGAAAAGTTTGATAAAAAATCAGAATATGTGGATACGCTATTTAATACGTTTGAAAATACTATGATGCGGAAGTACAAATATTCGTGTGCGCTTTTGCGTGCATTTCGAATATAACACAAATAGAGAAAAAAAAAAGATTGATAAAAAAAATAGTTCGCTCGACGAAAATATATTTAATAATATACGTTGAAATATTTATGTCAAATGTTGAGTTTATCATATTTAAGATGAAGATTTCTCTTGCATTAAATGCTCCGCTTAATAATTATTTCAGCTCGCATTTATTTCTCGCCCTCTGTGTTTTGGACGTGAATTTTCTCTCTGGTGCGCATTTTATGTATAAGCGCGATTTAAAATATTAAGCGTTCCCTCGATACGCATTTTTACACGAGATTTAATCTTCGCGTAAAAATTTAATGATCATGAGAACACTCGTGTACTCAGAAGGATGCAACGAAACGACATATATATCCATGAGAAAATTAATAAACTTTTGTAATGTAGGGCAATCTTAACTAAATTTATAATTACCGAATACTATAACTAAATTAGAAATTGCATATATATCTCGACGTGGAACCTTGCCGTAAGGATCTTTATGCATCATTCGCTACAAGGGTATATTTATATTTTCTACCAACAAGAGCGAAGAATTCAAGTTTGAATTAACTGCTTATGCTGCTTCAAAACTATTCACAAGTTAAACAAAATAGGCATTGCTAATGTGGTATTAGAGTTTCTTCAAGTTAATGCACAAAGACACGAAGCCGGAAAGTACATCGAAGAAAATACAGGCTCCAAGAATATGCAAATGTATTATGTTGAGAGCTTGTTAGCAACTGTCGTATGTGTGTGATGGGTTGAGCAAAAAATATTATCGTCTCTATAATTTTAAATAAAATTGTATGCGTGTCTCATTAATATAGATTTTTTTGAAAAATTGTTAAAATAATATTTTTTACATATAATTCGTTTTCGATAAAATAAAAATACGAGCGAAACGAAAAAGAGAAACGGATCAGATCGTATTTATTTCGCGAAATATGTATTTGTCGTCGACATTTTCAAATTAAACGGAAATGTTTCGCTCTCCTTTGTTATAATGCTTTCGACTTTCCAGCCACGTGACGGCGACGAAATTCTGTCATTCCTGCAGCTTGTGTGGTTCAGCCACACAATGCGGTTTACCCGCACTTAATGCGGGCTCTGTCCCGAATTTTAAGTAAATTTGTGCCGTCGTGAAAGCGATACCACCAGAATTGCATAAAATTCAACCAGCCCAGTCACTCTCGGAACGCGCCGTCACTACGAAATACGGTGAAATGACAAAATAAATAAAACGCGACAAAATGAGAGGAAGCTAAAGAATATCTTCGACCATATATTCGCGCGAATTTTTTCCCACATGTTCCGAATCCATTGAGTTGTTTTTCTCTCTCTCTTTTTTTTCTTTTTCTTTTTTCATTCGCTTCTCTATTTTTTTTTCTATACGAGTTGCCGATTGGTAAAAATGCCATATACATATAATCGATGCAATCGATCCGTTTCGTATTAAATCGGTAAACAATTCTTGTACAGCCTGGTTAAAATAAATGTATAATAAGCGCATGATTATGCTCGAATCGCTCTTGAAACTCGATATAATTGAATTGAAAATCACCCTCTCTCTGCGTCGCGTTCTGTCTCGAAGTCGTTTGGGATTATCCGCAATCTCGTCGACGTCACTCGAATTTATTATCACTCAAACTCAATCGAGCACACGTAACCACGAATCTATCTGTCCTCTCAAACATTCAAATTGACACTTTAGCCATTATCTTGTTCCGCTCCAGTTGAAACATCTGTGTAGCAGAAACTATTTGTGTGTATTTCTCTATGTTATCCGCCGCGTGTTAAACATTATCACTTCTCTATGCGGCGATGATGCCCTTTCCCTTGGATATGTTCGAGGAAAAGAGCATCTCTTAGACTAGTTCTTTCGCAGCTAGAGATCCATTAAAGACTTTACACGATATTGCATTTACGCGGAACTTCGCGTATTAAAGAAAAATTTTTATCAAGTTCACCCTTCTCGTTTTGTATTTTACCGCAACTTTTAATACGTGTCAGATAGTGATTCGATTTTGCGCAAAAAAATTATATGAAGAATGCAAACGCGGGATTACAATTTTTGCTCCACCGAAAGTATTGGTCTATTGATTACTTGCGGTAAAACAACTTATCATACCGAAGTATGCGAAACACATAAATAAAAGATAAGTACACATTTTTTTAAGAGAAGATCATGTTGCGTCAAATTCCAGAAAGAAATTACATCACGTGTTCAACAAAAATTATTATTTCTCATTACATTTATCATAAACAATGTAGTTGTGAATACTAACTTTTCATTCAGTAAATCAATTCCGTTCGACCTATATACGGTTTTAAAAATGTTACTTATCCGATCGAGCGAAGAAATAAAGTATTCTGCAATTTCTCCCTTTTAGAAACCATAAATATTGAAGGTGCAAATTTAATTGTTGAATTAAAGTCATTACAAGAGTTGGTCCTTATATTATATATTTTGAAAAAGAAATATAAGTCTCGACGGATCGTAGAAGACTAGACGCAGGATTAAGAAATATTTGCAATCATAAGTTCAACTTAAGAAAAAGCAGATGACACTAAGTGTTAAGATAGCACGAGATAAGAGAAGTGACACGAGACCCATTCGTTCGCGAGAAGAAGATCCTTCCGCGAGAGAGAGATATATATATATATATATATATATATATATATACTTATATATATATATATATATATATATATATATATATATATATATATACGCGCGAGACTCACATTAGGAGGGAATTCGTGTCAGTCGTGCCCCGTCCTATATTCCATTTTGCGCCCAAAGAGACTCAGCGACATTTATGTCACAGGCTGAAAACTAGGTATGTTATAGCGGATTACGGATGGAGTCCGCCGTATTCCGTATCAAAACCATTTATCGAAACTATCAGCGAGCGAGATTTATTGAATCCGACCGCACCTCGTTCCTCTCCTACCTCGATTTTTCCGGAGGTGGCAACGCGCTCTCTAATCCGTAGTTAAAAAAAAAAAAAAAAAAACCCACAAAAACTTGTATATAGCCGTCCGATTGATTCTTATGGAAAATCGCATATTATAACATTTATTGACAAATTTAATAAGCGAAAAACATTGTCAACGAAATAAAAATTTTCACATATATTAAGAAAACTCTAATAAATATTTGTGCAAAATTTAATTTAGATCCACTCACTCGTTTAAAAATTATTTACTAAAAATTGTAGAAAAATATTATCTGTCTCTTTCTCTCTTTCTGCAAATTACTCGTTATTTTTTGTTTCTTGCAGTTGATTTCAGGGAATATTCACGACCAAAAGTTTTTGTCATAAATTAGGAAAAATATTAATTATAACTATTTTCTTTTACAAAGACGTCAAAAACCATATTATTTTGTGATACTTAAACTTTTTTTATAACCCGGATTTATTTATTTGATTTTTCAAACAGTATAAAGGTAAGAAATTTTTTTTTTAATTTTGACAGTTTTTTGCTACTATTGTACATCCATAATACCCATGAATTCGCAAAACTACAATATATAGAGACTGGTGGAACGCGATATAATTAATTTACTGAAACGATAACAAATTTCTCGACGTATATGCTCGATGTATTTTAATTAGAAAAATTAGCAGAAATCCCGCGAACAGCGTATCGGTTTATTCATTTTACCCTTCCGCACGTGATAATTACTATGCCAAACCGGTAGCATGAGTAATTACATAAATACCAAACGTGTGAGATAAGCTTGAACCGGTACAGAGTCGGTTTAATCCACGCTTATCGCCAGTGCTTTCAACAGCAAATTTTGTTTTTTTTCCTGAACCATCGTCGCACCATAGTACGTAAGCAACGGTATCCGTTATATTAACTGCAAAAATTATTAATCCTCATTTCGCTAAGTGCACGATGCACGGAGAGCATATTTATATTTGTGCCGCTTAAGCAGCCTGCTGCCGGTTATTCCGCTAACACCCAAATCGCGTTTCAGCGAAAACGTAGCGCCTAAACATAGTATACGCACGGATAATCTTTATAATTTTTCGCGCTATGCATTTATCTCTACGAAAGCGTGCGCGCGATAAAACGCACCATTAACTTACACCTAATTGGGTTAAAACATATTCCAAATTTATCGTCTTTTCCCTCTTATCGTACGACCGTCTGCAGCGCGCGTCGTCGCATCCCATAAATACACCGGTTTCGCGTTATACATGCGCGTCGTCGAATATTTGTCGGTTAAAGGGGAGGGGGGAGGAAAAAAAAGGAACTTATGAAAATGCGGGCTTTTTCGCGAGAGCCGAAAGTGGCGCGGCAAAACAGGGCGGATTTGCCGGTCGCGTCGTCGGAAACGAACGGAGGGGGGGGATCGACCCCGGGGAGATGCCATTTCCGGCATTATCGTCGGCGCGGCGTTATCAGCGACGTCATCGGAAAAGCGTCAACTGTAAAAGGATTCGCATCGGCCCGGGAGCCGTTTCGCATTTTTCATATCTCGCTCGGGCGGGCAAAACACGGCGCGCGCGATATTTCCTGAAACGGGCGATAAGCGATCTCTCTGGACGATCTCTCTCGCCATCGCGCCACGGGGGGGGGAGGGGGGAGGGCACGAAAAGCGAAATACGATTTTATTCCGATACTATCGACGCTCTCATTACCCGAAACGAAGCCAATTACACTTCCATTCTTTTTTCTTTCTTTTTTTTTTTTTTTATTTTCCCCAGCGTAATCGCGCGCCGCCGTTACGCCGTCGTTCGTTGAGCGCGCGTGTCCCGATTTC